CAGAACCTGGCATAAAGACCACAACCCCCTCACAGGTGACAGGTGGCTTGTTTTAGGGAGTGAACGGGGAGGGGACAGCCAAGGGAGTAAGAAAAAAGAAAGATGTTAAATAATCACATAAGCCTGATTCTGGTGCCTTGTCCCCTACATATAAGAGATGGACACACAATGCCACAAGCGTACAGCCTACTAGGCAATTATTGTTCATTTAACAAGTTTTTTAAATGAGTAGTTTAAAAAAGACCATGGATCTGCTTTAGAACATCAATAAATGAAACTGGTTCACCAGGATCAAACGTCTTATGCTCAGACATTACTACTGCTGTCGTTCTCTGGCTTCAACCTGAACATGAGGTAACAGACCTCTGGACCAGCTCATGACAACAAAAGAACAGGCTGGAGAAGAGACTGGAGGAAAGCTTCACGCAAACACCAGCGTCATTCCCATCCTCTACACATCCCTTTTAATATTTGCCGAACCACCAAGAAAGTTCTTACATTCATCTTAGGGAACTTAGACGTCTTCATTATAAATAAAGATGGTTCTCCCTTCTTCACTAATAAATAAATATGAAAATGTGAAACATGCTTGGTAAGAAACAACATATAGAGAGGCAGAACAGGATGAAGAGAGAGGAAAATAAATCAATTAGTAATAGAGATAACATTCACTCCTCAATTTTAATCCATTTGCAAATTCTACTTCTTTCTAAAAGGGATAAAAAGAATTAGCTTTTAAAAACACTGCACTCAAAATGTTTCCAATGATAAGCTTCAAAATCTCACCGAAACAGAAAATATGTGTTTATGGGTGTGTGGGAATTCTGATTATGCTCTTTCATTTTAGGTCATTCAAAATGAACTCGGATTAATGTATACACAGTATGGCAATAACTTACGGGAAGGCCACAGTTTTTCTTCAACCTAATCAAACCTAGTTGGTTGAGAACACTCTGGAGTGAAGGCATGTGGTGACGATTTTTTAAAAAGTCTTATTAACCACCCCAAATCACATCCTCTCAGGAAGTTACTTTCCCCTAGACAGTCGAGGGCTCTGAAAGTCTAGTTTTGCTATAAATATAAAATAATTTGTAGCAGAAAAATATAGCCTTTCTAAGAAATAAATTTCATTTTTCTTTGTTCACTGACAAAGCTATGAGTTGGTTAGACAACATGAGTTTCCACATGTTAGACCACAAATCAGCACATCTAATTACAGCTCAACTTAAAAAGTAAAAAGCACTTTTGCCATCTGGTCAAGTACAAATGTTGGTTCCTTCTTCCCCAACGTGGGAAATTCAGAACACAGTCAATGGTGACTGCCTTGTCAGATAGTCCCTTTCACTGAAGCAGGGTGTGGGAATGGCAGTGCCAAGTCCCCATAGTGCACAGAGATCCTGAGGTGGCTCCCCATGTGCTGCTGCTCCTCTCTCTACTGCTCCGACTTGGGGTGACTTTCAGCAGAGTGACAGAAATCAGAGCTGGGGTAAATGTGCAGTACTCTAGGCAATGGAGGGGTTGCCTTCAATTTTATATATCACAATACTTGGTATTATCAAAGTCACTGTTCACTGGCAGAAAGTGGGGTACAGCGGAGTTCTTCACAACTTATCAATTACAGATGGCCATTAGAATTTATCAAACAAATATTTCTCCCAAAATTTAAAAGAAAAAAAATGACAGGTGGCTTGTTTTAGGGAGTGAACGGGGAGGGGACAGCCAAGGGAGTAAGAAAAAAGAAAGATGTTAAATAATCACATAAGCCTGATTCTGGTGCCTTGTCCCCTACATATAAGAGATGGACACACAATGCCACAAGCGTACAGCCTACTAGGCAATTATTGTTCATTTAACAAGTTTTTTAAATGAGTAGTTTAAAAAAGACCATGGATCTGCTTTAGAACATCAATAAATGAAACTGGTTCACCAGGATCAAACGTCTTATGCTCAGACATTACTACTGCTGTCGTTCTCTGGCTTCAACCTGAACATGAGGTAACAGACCTCTGGACCAGCTCATGACAACAAAAGAACAGGCTGGAGAAGAGACTGGAGGAAAGCTTCACGCAAACACCAGCGTCATTCCCATCCTCTACACATCCCTTTTAATATTTGCCGAACCACCAAGAAAGTTCTTACATTCATCTTAGGGAACTTAGACGTCTTCATTATAAATAAAGATGGTTCTCCCTTCTTCACTAATAAATAAATATGAAAATGTGAAACATGCTTGGTAAGAAACAACATATAGAGAGGCAGAACAGGATGAAGAGAGAGGAAAATAAATCAATTAGTAATAGAGATAACATTCACTCCTCAATTTTAATCCATTTGCAAATTCTACTTCTTTCTAAAAGGGATAAAAAGAATTAGCTTTTAAAAACACTGCACTCAAAATGTTTCCAATGATAAGCTTCAAAATCTCACCGAAACAGAAAATATGTGTTTATGGGTGTGTGGGAATTCTGATTATGCTCTTTCATTTTAGGTCATTCAAAATGAACTCGGATTAATGTATACACAGTATGGCAATAACTTACGGGAAGGCCACAGTTTTTCTTCAACCTAATCAAACCTAGTTGGTTGAGAACACTCTGGAGTGAAGGCATGTGGTGACGATTTTTTAAAAAGTCTTATTAACCACCCCAAATCACATCCTCTCAGGAAGTTACTTTCCCCTAGACAGTCGAGGGCTCTGAAAGTCTAGTTTTGCTATAAATATAAAATAATTTGTAGCAGAAAAATATAGCCTTTCTAAGAAATAAATTTCATTTTTCTTTGTTCACTGACAAAGCTATGAGTTGGTTAGACAACATGAGTTTCCACATGTTAGACCACAAATCAGCACATCTAATTACAGCTCAACTTAAAAAGTAAAAAGCACTTTTGCCATCTGGTCAAGTACAAATGTTGGTTCCTTCTTCCCCAACGTGGGAAATTCAGAACACAGTCAATGGTGACTGCCTTGTCAGATAGTCCCTTTCACTGAAGCAGGGTGTGGGAATGGCAGTGCCAAGTCCCCATAGTGCACAGAGATCCTGAGGTGGCTCCCCATGTGCTGCTGCTCCTCTCTCTACTGCTCCGACTTGGGGTGACTTTCAGCAGAGTGACAGAAATCAGAGCTGGGGTAAATGTGCAGTACTCTAGGCAATGGAGGGGTTGCCTTCAATTTTATATATCACAATACTTGGTATTATCAAAGTCACTGTTCACTGGCAGAAAGTGGGGTACAGCGGAGTTCTTCACAACTTATCAATTACAGATGGCCATTAGAATTTATCAAACAAATATTTCTCCCAAAATTTAAAAGAAAAAAAATGACAGGTGGCTTGTTTTAGGGAGTGAACCTTTGGTGGAAATAATTGTTTTCATTCTTACTGTCACTAGAGTGGATCCCAGAGAAGATAGTGGGTATAAGGTTCTGGAAAGTTCTTATTTACTAAAACACCAAGAAGACATGCCATAAAGGAGGAGAAAGGACTTTGACTCTGGTTCTNAAAAAAAAAAAGACCACAAAGCTGAAGGCCACTGAAAAAGCAATCTATTCTTTTCGAATGGCTGAGAAATCTACCTGAAAATGTCTTCAGTTAAGGGAGCACAGTGGCTTGCAGATGGAACACACACAAGCTCCGGCACAATCTGCACAGATCAGAACCTGGCATAAAGACCACAACCCCCTCACAGGTGACAGGTGGCTTGTTTTAGGGAGTGAACGGGGAGGGGACAGCCAAGGGAGTAAGAAAAAAGAAAGATGTTAAATAATCACATAAGCCTGATTCTGGTGCCTTGTCCCCTACATATAAGAGATGGACACACAATGCCACAAGCGTACAGCCTACTAGGCAATTATTGTTCATTTAACAAGTTTTTTAAATGAGTAGTTTAAAAAAGACCATGGATCTGCTTTAGAACATCAATAAATGAAACTGGTTCACCAGGATCAAACGTCTTATGCTCAGACATTACTACTGCTGTCGTTCTCTGGCTTCAACCTGAACATGAGGTAACAGACCTCTGGACCAGCTCATGACAACAAAAGAACAGGCTGGAGAAGAGACTGGAGGAAAGCTTCACGCAAACACCAGCGTCATTCCCATCCTCTACACATCCCTTTTAATATTTGCCGAACCACCAAGAAAGTTCTTACATTCATCTTAGGGAACTTAGACGTCTTCATTATAAATAAAGATGGTTCTCCCTTCTTCACTAATAAATAAATATGAAAATGTGAAACATGCTTGGTAAGAAACAACATATAGAGAGGCAGAACAGGATGAAGAGAGAGGAAAATAAATCAATTAGTAATAGAGATAACATTCACTCCTCAATTTTAATCCATTTGCAAATTCTACTTCTTTCTAAAAGGGATAAAAAGAATTAGCTTTTAAAAACACTGCACTCAAAATGTTTCCAATGATAAGCTTCAAAATCTCACCGAAACAGAAAATATGTGTTTATGGGTGTGTGGGAATTCTGATTATGCTCTTTCATTTTAGGTCATTCAAAATGAACTCGGATTAATGTATACACAGTATGGCAATAACTTACGGGAAGGCCACAGTTTTTCTTCAACCTAATCAAACCTAGTTGGTTGAGAACACTCTGGAGTGAAGGCATGTGGTGACGATTTTTTAAAAAGTCTTATTAACCACCCCAAATCACATCCTCTCAGGAAGTTACTTTCCCCTAGACAGTCGAGGGCTCTGAAAGTCTAGTTTTGCTATAAATATAAAATAATTTGTAGCAGAAAAATATAGCCTTTCTAAGAAATAAATTTCATTTTTCTTTGTTCACTGACAAAGCTATGAGTTGGTTAGACAACATGAGTTTCCACATGTTAGACCACAAATCAGCACATCTAATTACAGCTCAACTTAAAAAGTAAAAAGCACTTTTGCCATCTGGTCAAGTACAAATGTTGGTTCCTTCTTCCCCAACGTGGGAAATTCAGAACACAGTCAATGGTGACTGCCTTGTCAGATAGTCCCCTTCACTGAAGCAGGGTGTGGGAATGGCAGTGCCAAGTCCCCATAGTGCACAGAGATCCTGAGGTGGCTCCCCATGTGCTGCTGCTCCTCTCTCTACTGCTCCGACTTGGGGTGACTTTCAGCAGAGTGACAGAAATCAGAGCTGGGGTAAATGTGCAGTACTCTAGGCAATGGAGGGGTTGCCTTCAATTTTATATATCACAATACTTGGTATTATCAAAGTCACTGTTCACTGGCAGAAAGTGGGGTACAGCGGAGTTCTTCACAACTTATCAATTACAGATGGCCATTAGAATTTATCAAACAAATATTTCTCCCAAAATTTAAAAGAAAAAAAATCATCCACAAAACCCTTCACCAAAACTCATTGTTTAAAAAAATTTCCCCCTCTGGGAATGGACTAGTGTGGCTACTGAGATGATGTGAAATTGTTTCTCCTCATTTCATTTGCAATTTGAATCCTGCTGGTAAAAAACAAACAAACAAAAAAAAAAAAACATGGAAATGTTTCTAGACCATTCATATGCTCATTCAGGCTACATTGCACTTCTGTCCTTCAGTGAGGAAAGGCAAGATCATCTCTGGGGCCAGCCTCCTCATCTCTGCTTCTGAATAACCATGGTGTCAAACTCTCAAGAACTGTGTGATCATTTGTTGAAGTGGACAAATGTCCTGGCCATCTCATGGTGCTTCTCTTCTCAAGTTTGGTGTCCTGATGAGACAAATGTCCAGACTGCTTTTGAGGCTTCCAATGTGCAAAAAAAAGTTCCGAAGGCATTGAATTAGCTTGGGCCTCTGTTAAGGTGTTTTGGTTACTTGTTTTAGCTGCTGAAAACCCTGTCTCATATACTGCACCAGGTCCACCAAACTGCTGTTGAGGGCCAAGGTGCACACATTTGTACTGAGCTGAGCAAAGAATTCTGCAAACAAAACAAAACAAAAGCCAAGTAAATACACATGCACACACAAAAATAAAAATGGAAACATAGGAAGTCAAGGTTCCAGAAGCTATGTCCCCACAATATTCTGCACTTATCACAGAGAAAAATCACAATCTACTGTAATTATGTGTTAATTCTTCACATTCCTCTAGTAGACTAGAAAGGTAGGATCCTACCTTGCTTTAGAGTTGAATCCATAATGCCTAGCACAGTGGCTGGCACTTGGAAAATACCCATTTTTTTTCTTGTGACCGGTAAGGAGATCGCAACCCTTGGCTTGATGTCGCCCGCACCACGCTCAGCCAGTGAGTGCACTGGCCATCCCTATATAGGATTCCTAACCCGCGGCCAGAGAGCCACTGCGCTCCCAGCGCCGCACCCTCCCGAGTGAGCCATGGGGTCGGCCCCCCAATTTATACTTTTGGATCAATGGATACATGAATTTAAAAAAACATGTTAAAAGCATTATTAGTTTGCTAAGAAAGAAAGTTCTAAGAGACTGTGGG